CATTTCTTGACCTTATTAATATAATATTAGAGCTAATGTTAAAAATACTCAACCCTTAGAAAACGAATGGACATTCTTGTATTATCAATAAAAATGAATCCATCAGTCCTAGTCAAATCACCAATTTGTCACACTTTGTAGTACCATAGCTGTCAAATCTATGATGTCATATCTTTGGGGATGTTTTTATATACCATGGAAAAGCCTGTGTCTTGAATATAAAATGTATCCCATTTCACAGATGAGAGTATCTGATTATCAAAGTGGGATAATGAAACAAAATATGCACTTCAACCACAGACTGGACACAGTCCTCCCTCAGTTGCAAGCAGGTTAAATTGTCCAGAATTTTATGAGGCAGTTGCTAAAGATGTGTCTGTGTTTCTTTTGCCATTTTGACCTTCACTGCTAAGAGGCTGAGTACTGGAAGTGTGATGTCTTCCATCAGGGCCTCTGCTTGCTTAGCAAGCCCTGAAAGTTCTTCATTTTCCTCTCTGGACCAGGGAGGGGGCTGCTCCTGACTGAAAGGCCTGGAAGCTAAGTGGGAAGTGAACAGTGGGGAGTGGGAAGAGACCTCTCCCGTTTAGGGCTGGATCTGTAGTCTGAAGTGATGATCTGCCCACCACTTTTTCCCAGGGACTAGACTTAGAGTCTTACACCTGAGTGCCATTCTGGAGGGAGCCACCTGCTGACACTAGGCTTGTCACAATCTTAGCTCCAATAGGTGTGTGTGTGTGTGTGTGTGTATTTATGCATGTGTACATGCTTGTGTATGTGTGCACACATGTATGTGCATGTGTACATGCTTGTGTATATGTGTAGGACTCAGGTCAGAAGCTGATGTCCAAGTGTCCTCTTCTGTTGCTTTTTACCTAATTTTTTGAGACAGTCTCTTATTGAACCTGGAGCTGGCTCTCCGACTCAGCTAGACTGGCTGCCTCAAAACCCTGGGATCCACCCGGGGTCACAGATGTGTGCCCCTGCACTCTGCTTTCTGTGTGGGTGCTGGGGATTGAACTCAGGTCCTTATGCTCCCATCACAGCACCTGACTGAGCTGCCACCCCAATCCTTTGTTAGCCTTTGAAGATGACTCTTGCTCCATATCCAGGCCCGCAGTTCCAGCCTGTTGGGAAAGGTCTGCTGTGTAAGCTGCAGGCCTTGTTCAGCCCTCAGCCTTGCCTGGGATCCAGCTCAGCCAAACACCAGCTGCCTCTGGCCAGTCTGCCCAGCATCAGAGGCTGTCTCCTTTCTCTTCACTCTGACCATATCTGTAACTTTTTAGGGGGGTTAGGGAGTGGAAACAGCCAAATTTGATTTTCTTAATCTGTTGCCCTTACCTAGACAGTTGAATTTTACTTTATTTTCCACTAACTAGGAAGGAATTTAGAAGTGTGTGTTCCTACTTCAGATCCTGGTTGTGGAGACCCTGCTCAGACCTTTTTGCTCATAGTTACTGGTACAGACTTTCCCCATTTTTTGCTTATTTTTTCTTCTCATTTTTTAGGCTCAATCTTCCTGAATGTCCTGTCTTTTAAGAGGCAGATACATCTAGTTTATTCTTATTTATTATGAGTGCTAAAATGTCAGCACCTACTCTTGTCCTGTGGCTTGCTTTAGACTCTTTCTTTAGCATTACTGCTTTTCAGTCTTATATTCCAGAGACTATACCATTTCCATCTGGTCCATCTCTACTCAGTGCCAAGAAACTCACAGGCAAAGGCCTGGGATAACTAATGTCTCTAAGAAACAGAAATGCGCGGAGCTTGTCACCAAAGCATGAGGAAGCTTCTTGTCATGGGAGAACATTTACAGCAGACATTGGAACCACACCCCAAAAAGAACAATTATAAAACCCTGGACTCCCTTGCTGGAGAAACTGCAGGGTCTGCCTGCAAGAAAACCTCTGGAGCATGTTCGGAGGAGGGCTGGAGAGATGTGGGCTCGAAAAAACACCTCTGCCTGACCTTTTTTTGTTTGAGCTCATGCTTGCTTCATCTCTGTGCTGTCTGCTGCTGGCCCTCCTGACCTGAGAAGGGCAGAGGAGAAGAGACAAAGGCTTTGAGAGGAAGCATGGACATGAGCTATGACTGATGCTTATCCTGACTTCTGAGCTCTGGGCAACATCACAGGTGATTGGATGTGCCCTTTCCTAACAATTACAATAGCTGGCGCAGGCTCTCTGCCGAGAGGGTACTGACTGCTGGGCTGTGCTGTCACTATGAACAGTGATCAGGGCATATTTTATAGGAACCAGACACTGAGAATTAATCTATTACATGTACTTCATGAAATTAGGTAGAGATCTGTGGGTTGATTGTGGCAGTAGTTAGAGATCACACTGGAAAAGCTGAATGTCAAATTGGACTAATAGTGGCTTCGATTTGGGAACCTGTACAGTAGGGCTGCTCAGGAGTCAGAGTTGGTTATGGAACAGTGGTTAGGCCCCAGTACCCTGGAAGTGTCAACAGACCTAGAGAGTCACAGGAGGAGCTTTGAGCAGAGGCCGGTGTCTGTTGGGGTATGCTGGCCCTGTTCTCCCTGGAGGTGAAGGACCTGGACTGACCCAGGGTGGGGATAAGGGCTTCTGAGGCATCCAGGCTAGTGACTGGGGGATATGGTTACTGCCATTAAATTACTGCTCCCACTAGAAGCTGTCAAGCTCTGGAAAAGATGGTAGCAATGGGGAATTCTGGGATAGACATGCCCTAGAGCCATCTGATTGAGGTAGGGGTGGCTGGTCTACTACAGGGTTTATAGCAAGGAACACACGAGGGAACTTGGAGTAGAGGGATCTTCACCCAAGTGAAGGGACCTCAGGGTTGTCAACACCTAGCATCACTTACCATTACAATGAACAGCTTCCAGAAGGAAGCAATGCAGGCTGAATAGAGCAGGGGATGAGGGCAGGAGCCCAGTACATGACTGTGAAATCCTGGTAGTTTTTGTTACTGATGTCAGAATGACAGATCATGGATAGGTCAATTAGGAAACACTATTGGTGGGTCAAGGAGACCAGAAGAAAAATGGCACTGTGACACATCTCTGGGGGAGAGGGGGTCAGTGGAGCCGGAAGGGAGGAAGGTGAAAGCAGGAATATGGACACATGGGTTCACTTTTAAGCATTCAATGAGCTAAGACTGGCCCTTGATTGTTGTTCCATTTTGGAACGAAAACCTTAGTTGATAAAAAGAAAATGACTTCCCCAAGTCATACAACTAGCATGCAAGATTTCAGATTCACTTGACTCCAGAGTTCCCTTCTGCCTCACTGAACTCAGGACACCTATTTCCTTCTGTATAAAACTGAAGGACTGAATGAGATAAGGATTTCCCAATTTGGATCGGAACCACCTTCATCCTGTTAACTGTAGTTTTGTCCACCCTCGTGAGATTATCCTATGCACTTTTCCATTTGTGCTGTTACCTATGTGATCATCCTCTTAAAGGAGTTCTATTTATTTACATATTTATCTTTATTATAAAATTTGCATGACCTAAAGTTCACCATAGTAGCCATGGTTAAAGTATATAGTTCAGTGGATTAAACTCATTCACGTTACTATGCAACAGTTTTTCATTTTGAATGCAAACAAATTTTGGAAATCAAGGTAACATAACTACCACAGAATAGAAAGCAGAATTACCCTCCATGAATGGAGGTAACCATTGGAATACATGAGGTGAAGTCACCACGTCATTAACTTGTGGCTGACTCCTTCCATAACTGCAGGCTGTGAGACGAAGCCTGCCCTCCAGCCCCATATCTATTAAAGCAAGTATGGGGGACATGGAAAAGACACAAGCAAACCAAACTGACACGTCTGACATTCTCAGATGACGTAACACAGGTGTGGAAAGTTATTCTCTTACTTTGAACTTGACATCCTCTGCCACCCAGGTTCACATCTTGCTTGTATGGAACATTTTGTCTTTCCCTGCTGTGGGAACCACCGAGATGTGCACAGTTTCCTGTCTACAAAGGCTCTGTGACTTCTGACTGAGAATGAGGTGGTCTGAGTGTCCTTTCCAACTTGGAGCATTGGTAAGGAGAATGGCTTGGAATGTCCTCATTATTATCTCTTCTGTATTCTGTATAGGGGCTATCCCTCACTATCTGCAGGGATAGTGTATAGTAGCCACCCCACACTATCTGCAGGGATAGTGTATAGTGGTTATCCCACACTTTCTGCAGGGATAGTGTATAATGGCTGCCTCACACTATCTGCAGGGATAGTGTATAGTGGTTATCCCACACTTTCTGCAGGGATAGTGTATAATGGCTGCCTCATACTATCTGCAGGGATAGTGTATAGTGGTTATCCCACACTTTCTGCAGGGATAGTGTATAATGGCTGCCTCATACTATCTGCAGGGATAGTGTATAGTGGCTGCCTCACACTATCTGCCCCAATCCTGCAGGTCCAACTGTCTTGGAAGGCCCTCTGCAGTACAGCACTATGTTTTGGAGTCTATGTGGTCCAGTTGTGCTGAGGCCATGCCTGACAGATGAAGCCACTCTCTGCTCTGAGTGAGTAAACTTAGTCTGGTCTGTGTGGAAGGCCAGGTGTTTTGAGCACCCAAATGGAAAGGTCCTCAGTAGTACAGGGACGAACCACTATTTGAGGTAGAGACATCACACATAGAGCTTCACGGGGATTCAGATTTCAGTGTAAGGTTAGACTTGTCTGGACCCCATTTTCCCAGATAATGGGAATGAAACATGTGCACACGTGGCTTTGTTGGAAGCACCAAGGAGCTGAGCAGAACATGGGAAGTGTTCTTAAGCTAGAAGGGATGTACTCTGCCAGTGTTAAAAGGAAACACTTCCATTTCAGAAGCTGGGAGTGTCTTCCAGAAAAACAAGCTGTGATGTGGGAACAAGCACGGGGTTAAGACCCAAGCATGGGTGCTGGATTTGCTTGCATTCACACTCTGAACTTACCCCCGCCCCTTCTTGTCCTAGCACAACACCCAGGGGACACAGGACCTTCATGCTTTACCTGGGGCTTGCTCTCATCTTTGTCTTTGTAGTAGAAGAGTTGATCTCCACGTAGCACGAACCATCGCTGCTGCCAGTTCTTCATGATGCTCCTCTGCTTCCTCAGCCAGCCGGCCTTGAGTACAGGGCCCAGTTTGTGGGGAGCCAGGGGCCTCCCTGGGCTCCGGTTATGTTCCCCCATCACCAGACTCTTGGAGCGAGCTGGAAGCCAAGAACACACAGTGAGTGTGGAGACTGAAGTCTGTTCTTACTCCCAGCTCCAGCCCCACTGGCACCCAGGCTACCTGGGGACCAAGGCCTGGGGCCCAGAATGGCAAGACAAGTTGGATCTACTTTCCCCTTGTATGCCAGAACACCTGGGTTCATGCATTCGGGGGGGAGGTATATAGCCTTCCTTCATTAGTTTCTGCGAGGTCACCGGGATCCAAAATTCTCCACTTCTCTGGGTATACTCCTTATGGATAAGTCCCATCTAGGGACAGTAATTCCTTATCTTCCATACTACTATCCTACTAGCTCAGACATTTTGCTTTTTGTTTTTTTTTTTTTTTCCATTTCTCTCCCATTCAGATCTTGGCTTTGGCTGCTGGTGAGGTCCTATTCAATCTTTAAGATTGAATTCAAAAGAGCCATCTCTTGATGGTACCAATCTTGCCAGCCTTGTCTCAGTGGTGTTTTGACTCAGTGAGCAAAGCAGCTGGCCCTATGCTCACCTCCTACACTAAGGGAGAATGGTGATCCCACACAATGTGTTTCTCCAGCAAAACTGAAGAGAAATCCGAGCAGTGCTTGGGAGTAGCACAGCTTAGCTCCTTCCCACTGCACAGCCACCTCTCACTCCCAGCAGCAATCGACACAGAGTGGAACATGCTGTGTTTGTATTTCAGATGGATCTGCATCCTGTTCCCATCTGGCTGCTGGGCCTGGCACCTGTGCTGCTTGGTACACAATCAACACACACTTACCCTGATCACAGTTTATAGACACTAATCTACTGGTTATGGGTTTGCCTTTCCTGCACACAATGTTCCTGCCAAATATCACTGTGGACTTACAGAATGACTTATCCATAGTCATGATAGTCCACACAGCATTGCTTCTGACCACAAAACTCAAGTCATGTGACAGTGGGCGCACAATCACCGAATCAACTGATCTTACCATGTTCCCACCATCCTGAAGCAGCTGGTCTAATAGAAAAATGGAATGGCCTTTTGAAGACACAGTTACATCCAGTAACAGCTGGTCTAATAGAAAAATGGCCTTTCAAAGACACAGTTACATCCAGTAACAGTGTTAATTTTGTGGCAGCAGCCTGGAGGGCTAGAGCAGGCTTCCCCAGATGGCAGTATATGCTCTGAATCAGTGTCTGATAGACTGAACTGTTTCTCCTATCCTCAGGATCCACAGGTCCAGGAATCAAGGGGGTGGAAAAGGGAATAGTTCCACTCACTATCACCTCTAATGACCAACTAGGAACATTTTTGCTTCCTGTTCCTGTGACCTTAAGTTCTGCTGGCCTAGAAGGCTTGGTTCCAAAAGAGGGAGCACTCCTGCTAGGAGACACAACATTCCATAGAACTGGAAGCTCAGACTTCCCCCTGGCCACTTTGAGATTCTGATGCTCTTAAACAAATAGGCTAAGAAAGGAATAAGTGTTAGGAGGGGTGATTGATCCAGACTACCAAGTAGAAATGGGATTGTTTCTTCACAATGGAAGTGAGAAAGATTGTCTGGAGTGCAGGAGATCCTTTAGGGCATCTCTTAGTGCTACCATGTCCTATGCTTAAAGTCAATGGAAAGCTATAACAGCCTAACCCAGGCAGGATGACAAAAGGCACAGACCCTTCAGGAATGAAGGTGCGGGTCACTCCTCCAGGGGAAAAAAAAAAGCCAAGACCTGCTGAGGTTCTTGCTGAGGGTGGAGGAATACAGAATGGGTAGGAGAGGAAGGTAGTTATAAATACCAGCTAAGGCCTCATGACCAGCTGCAGAAATCAGCAGGATTATAACCAACATGAGTGCTTCTGTTGTATTTCACTAAGAATGTGTTTGCACAGATGTTTGTTTTTGTTCCTTGATTTCTCTATCATGCAATGTAAGATCAATAAAGAGAGTATCAGTGGTTATCATATTTAAGTTTGTACAAAAGAATTACTGAAAGAATGCCCCTCAAGGGACACTGCCACCTATTCTAAATTTATAATGCATTTGCAGTTGTATGAGGGACAGTCATAGCATGTTAAGGAACTCCTTCATAGACATCTATGTGCTCCTAGATCTTGTCAATTGACAATTAATATTAACCATGAAGGCTCCAAAGTTACACAGAGAAACCCTGTCTCAAAAAAAAAAAAAAACAAAAACAGATAGTCATCAAAAGTCCACCCCTTGTCAACCTGACACCAAAAGATACAGTGCAAAGCCAGGTGGTGGTGGCCCACACCTTTAAGCACAGCACTCCAGAGGTAGAGGCAAATGGATCTCTGTGATTTTGAGGCCAGACTAGTCTACAGAGTGAGTTCTATAGACAGGTTCCAAAAGCTACACAGAGAAACTCTGTCTTGAAAAACAAAACACAAACAAAATACTGTGCTAAAGCTATAATCTTCTACTCCTCATTCTCATAGGCTTATGGCTATCTCATAATGAAAAATGCATTCAGACCAACTTCAAAAATCCTCATAAATTTTCAACAGCTCTAACACATCAAAGTGCAAGCACAGAGTATCTTTTGAGACTCAGGAAGTCTCTTAACTGTGAGCCCCTATAACATAAAAAACAAGTCACACACTTTCAACATGCGATGGCACAGATTAAACATTCCCAAAAGAAGAGAGTGAGGACATAGCAAGAAAAGAGTAGACCATAACAGGACCAAAACACAGTAGGGAAAACACCAAATCTTGCAGCTCCATTCCATCACTGGGGCTCATAATGAATCATTTAGGCAAGGGAGGCCTTGTACCTCAAGCTCTGCCATATCTCTCTTGGGCCAGCTTTAGTCTGTGCCTGCAGTTTTTTTTCCTTTGTGGATATTTTGTGGTCCTAATATCTCCAAAAATTCTGAGATCTCTACTTCAACATAGGCTTTACCTTTATAGCTTCACACAATGGTCTCTCAGGGCCTCGTTGTAGAAACTATGACCCCCACCACACACTGTCTGGCTTCAGCAGCAATTTGAAAACTTGGCACAAGCTTACACAACCTACTCGAGTGACATTGTCAGTTTAGGTTCTCTCCTATGAAATTAATTTGGAAGACAGAGCCTCTGATATATGGATTTTTATCCTTAAGGCACCTTTTCACATTGTTCTAGTATAGAGATGTAGATTTCTCTTTAATGGTAATAATCTCTTCTGCCATGTCTTCAACTTTACATTTTCTCCTTTCCTTGCCAAACAGCATATTTTTGTATCTTTCCCCCTCCACTCATTTCTCTCTTTTGCTATAAACCTACAGAAGAGCAGTGAGTAGTAACTGTGATGTATCCTGAATGCTACCCTGTCTTGAAATTTCCTCCACCAAACAAATCAGTTCATTACTTTTGCATTCAGCATCACTGAAGCTTCCATATTACAGCCCTACTTCTGGTACCAAGTTTCTATATTACAGTCCCACTCTTGGTACCAAGTTCCTATATTGTTACTTTTCTTGTTGCTGTGACAAAGTTTCTGGCAAAAGCAACTTAAGGAAGGAAGAGTTTACTTTGGTATACAGTTTGAGGGTACACTCCAGAATGTAATAGGTGCAATGACAGTATTAGTTCTCTCCTTCTAGATGGCTAATCAAGTGGAACTCCCTGCTATGGTTCTACTACCTGTAGGAGACACCTAACTCATCACTCCTGATGGGGAGAGCCATATACCTGAAGGGCTTAGGTTCTTAGGTCTCTGTCCTTGTCCACATGAGCCTCAATATTCCCCCCAAAGTCCTCCCAAGGCCCTGGAAAGGCTGCCCTTATGTTTTCTGGTATCTGTTGCACCTTGCCAGGGGTCTTTACTTTGCTAATTTAGTGGTCCTGCCTTGGAGAACACAGACCTGGAAGACATGTTTTGTCTAATTGGGTTGTTCAGGGGCCCCTGATAAGGCAGAGAGAGGTTGTGCTTGGTAGAATAGCATCAACTATCAGGAGGGACCCTTCTGCTCCCATGGTTGCCCTCTCCCTGACCTTGTCTAAGTCAAGCCACTGGCTGAAATGGCTCTGAGGAGATGAAGATGATGCCCATGATGAGAAGAAATTAAACATGACCTCAGTATTCTACTGAGGTCTGATAAGGGACCTAGAAGAAGAGGGGACAGGTATGTCCCTTTGATTACTGAGTTTTCTTTTCCAGATATCAATTTGCCCACCTCTAAAGCTTTATTTTTTCAAAAATCAAGTTCAATAAAATTAAGTCATCCAATGCATGGATTTTTGTGTTTTGATTGCCAGATACATCTAACTAAAGTCTTGACAGGCAGTGGTGCCCTGTGAGTGAGGACTCTGTTGTGGGTAGGTTGGCTTAGTCTTCACTGTCCACTCTTAAATTCTTTTTGGGTCACCTGTAAGAGGCACTTAGAACATTCCATGCTTCCACAGAAGATGGCATAGACCCCTCTGGGGTCTTCAGTGGGAACTGAAGCCATGGGCTGCTTTAGAGCTGCACCTGTGGCTCTATCTTTTATATTCTTTAACAACAGAACCCAATGCTTGTTCATTCTCCCAAACACATTCCTTTCTTCTCCCCTCTAGCATACTGGGCAGGGAAGCTGACAGCAGGAACTTAACAGTTTCAGAGGCTAATCAGCATAGATGGACCCTCCTGAGTACACTGGGTGGGGTCTACCAATGCCAGATGGCTTCTCCAGTTGAGTTCCCTGGGCACAGACCAATGGATGCAAATATGGGCAATAAGTGTCCATGCTATTGGCATGCGTGTCCCTTGACAAGAAGGGAGAGATTTTTACTCTGGTTGTCAAGTTATAGACACCAGCCCTCTTGGGAGCTCCAGGTAATGGAAAGCAGGCCTCACTGAAGCCACATTCCAGGGAGTGGGGAGCAACTCCAACGGCCTGCAATTCCTCAGAGAGGTTCTTCCTGCACAGGCCATGTTGACTGCCACACCAGCACAGGTTTTTCTCCGCAGATGATCAATCATGTATATATTACTTATCAGACCTTGGAGCTTCTCACAAGGAAAACAGCCACTGGTATGAT